AAAATTCAAAAAAATTAGGATATATAAATGGTAACTCTTTTCGATTTCCTATTAACTTGTTTTGAAGTCCTGTAGTACTCCCACGATCTTGTTTTGACTGATTAGACTCTGTTCCATTCTACATGATAGTATCAAGTTTGAAGACATAGGCAACTACTTTGAAGACAATAAGATTCACTAAGATACCCATTCTGGTTTGACTATTGTCTTCTTTGGAAGTCCTGTAATGTTTACAATGCCTAAGTTTTATTGGTCTTGTTCTCTACTGTTTTGTCCAACTTTATAATATCTAATAAGATAGACAATTCTTTTTAAGGAAACAAGGGACAACGTTGATAACCATTGTTGATAAACTTGTACTCTGTTCTACACCATGTGCTATGTCTATCCTTGGTATTGACTGACAGCTTTGTTTTGCCATATTTGACTGTATTCTTCCCCCCCCCCAAAGAAAGTAATAAGCACTAAGGAGTAATAAAATCCAAGATGTGAAAATTTTGTTGTAAAAAAGAGAGGGAAAAAAAAAAAAAAGAAAAAGAGCTCTAACGGATATAACAGCAAGTGTGTTTGGGGGTGTTAAATAGCTGACTTTATCAATGTTTTTGGAACATTGAACACAGCTGTTTGCAGTCTCCCTGTTTGAATGTCCACCTTGTGTTCTTTGATACTGTGATTTGAGGAACTATTTTCAAGAAAATAGTGTGTAATCTACTAGCAGGTAATTTCTTACTGTTATGGTGTTTTGTTTTGTTTTGTTTTGTTTTGTTTTGTTTTGTTTTGTAGTTCTGTATTGCGTGTACCCTTACGCCGCTTTGGTTTGTTTTGTGTTTTTCTCTTTTTCCTCTTAAATAAAAAAAAAAAAAAAAAAAAGAGAAAAAAAATGTAAATTATTACTGATACAAACACAAGTCAAAATAGTTTTGAGGGAACAAGTAAGGTACTAGTTCAATAACAATTTTATTTAAAAGCAAATTAAAATCACACAGAGATTTCGTATCACTCCAGAAAGAATGGCCAGGATCAAGAAAACTACCAACAACAAATGCTGGAGAGATTGTGGGGACAATTTTATAAACATGGATTTATAGTCACTTTTCCACAGCAATCATTTGCATATCTGCAAAGAGGAAATAGTTCCACTACCATCAATTTGCTGTAATGTGTTTCACTGTAGAACTATGTTATAGCCTAGTTAAAGACAAAAGTGCTTATCTCTATAGGACAGATAATCTCAGAAACTTCACTTCAGACATTTCCACTGAAATAATATCTTTTCAGTCAATTCCATCGCCTTAAAGTTTTCCTTACAAAATAATAAAGCTAAATTAGGTTAGATAGGTGCTAAATATGAAGATAGATGTAGAAAATAGATATTTATTCACTTAGAAACTGTTAATAGAATTGTATCTGCAACTATTTATTAAAGCAACTTGTGCTTGGTAGTAGGTTCTCAAATGTTTATACAAATGTTAAGAACTATACATATATCTTACCCCAACCAGGGCTGCTTATCATGGGTTATTTCTTAATATTTTTATAATATTTTTCTTAAAAAAAACTTCTCATTGTGTATAAGACTCACTGGAGAAACTGATGTATAATTCTGGTTTTTACTAAGAGCCTCTTTTTTGTGTGTGGAAACAGTTTGATTAATCTAAGAATACTAAACTCTTTGGTTGGCTCTCGTTGAGCATTATAAATTATGTCTAATTCACCTGCTCTCATAAAACATTTAAAATCAAAGTATGTTGAGTATGACTGTTCAGTTTTCTTCTTCCCAGAAGAATCCAAGTCGTTTCCATATGCTTTAGAAGTTGGTTATACTTTTCTTCTTTTCGCACATTTTAAATGCTAGAGATGTTCTTGTCCTTGGTGAGGTAAAATAGGTAGCAGCTTTGTTTTAGCCTTGATTTTATCTGAAACTATGGGTTATGAAACTATGAAAGAGACTGGCTGAAGCTCAGAAATCTTAACTGGTCTTGTAAATAAAAAGTAAGCTAAAGACCATAAATTGATCCAAAACTAGCACAGTGGGGAAAAATATTTAAAATGAATCACCCACAGAAAGGTCTACCTCTGTCTAGCACTAGTTCATCCCTGGTCCTGGCTAAATTCCTCATGTACAATACTGACCACTAGGCCTTTCTAGCTCTTGTAGTCAATATCCATCAACGTTACCTTCAGGAAAAAACACTGTTTTGGGCTATCTCTTTTGTATGACTGGCTTCTAAAACTCAACTTGAGTCATTTTAGATACCACATTGAGACAATGACACAGTGGCAAAATATTTTACTGCTGATTCCTTTTTATTAAATAGCTTTAAATGATGAATAATGTCTGTGCTAAGAAACTATGCCTCTGTAGTGTATTTAATGCATCATATCTGAATCTTTCTCAAACCCGTGTGGTGAATTTTGTTCAAAACAACAAAATAACTAGAGATTGCATATAAACTTGGTCTACATTCCCAATAATGGGAAATGCTAATTATAAAAGCATGATAGAGGGTCCTAAATACAAGAATAGAACTTTAATTTTCATACACAAACAGCACACAGAATTTTCATATTTTAAACAATGCTTATGAAATGTTTTTCTCTTTTTAAGACCATGGCATTGAGAGACAGATCTTTCTCCAAGAGGAAGGAGACTGAGAGACGGAAGGAGAGGAGAGTGAAGGGCAGCCAAGTGGGTGGAAAAAGGAATCAAGATGTGCCGTGTACCTCTATCAGCTCTACCAGGGAAATGTAAGCACCCTATACTGCACCTACCTGCCAATAAAAACACAAAAGAGAAAGGAGACCAAGATACGGATGGATGGAGAGGGAGGGCAGAGGAAGGAAATGAAGAAAGGAAGTGATTAGTATTACACAGAGAATGGCATTTACAATAACAAATACCTTTTCAGATCCCTGACATTTCTTAGCTTCTCTCAGGTTAGTAATGCATCTTAATGTAATGCTTCGTATGACTTAAAATATAGTTCAGTGTATTTCTAATGTATCTCCACTTGAGTATCTGGATCCAATTTATGAAATATCACTTACTTTTCTGGAACTGATTACAAAGTAGACATCATCAAATATTCTCAAGTCACAGATGCTTTGGATTCCTCATGTTTGATTAATGGTCTCTGAGAAGTTACATTTCACAAACTGTATTCATCTTTTTAAAGGAAACAGTCTCTCTCTTTCTTCCTTTTATATGGGCAGAGTTTGTTAAAAGTGATCGGAAAATGTAATTACAGTCTCCAGCATGCCCTGAACCTTGGGCCCTTTCCACAAATAGGGCGCCTGGGAAAGCCACAATGGAAAAACAAAAAACCCACCTTTAAGGAGTGCTTCCCATGCACACCAATGGCAGAAAATGAAAACTCTGTACAGGGAAAGGAAATAAATATTACAGGCTTTCTGTTCCTTGTCAAAACACAAAAGGTATAGACTCACAGTACACACACACACACACACACACACACACACTGATAACACCACTCAGCAAGAAGGTCAGAAAATCAACAGTATGACAATGGAAAGCTATTTTTGGTCCAGCTGGTCATTATAACTAACTTGTTACAGAAGATGTGTTGGAAGAAAAGCAATCTTCCTCTTGTTCTTAAACCAAAGAATGGAGTAAGAATAGCAGATTTCAGAAGGCGAATTGAAGCTTTCTATAAAAGCATGTCTTTTGAACAGTCATAGGAGGGAATTTTCTATAGAACAAAGCTTAGTGAAAACAAAGTGCCTCTTCTGAGGAAGAGAAGTATGGGGAACAGAACTAGCTGAGAAGATCACTGAATGATGAAGACCCCAGATAACATGGAAGCACAGGACACAATGAGACAAGATCAAAGCCATTACCATCAATTCTTAGGGACGAGGAATAGGAAGTTAACATTATTATAACATTTCACAAAAGTTGCTAGGTTAACTAAATGGAACACATCACATAACTCGAATCATATGGAAATTTTGCCTTCTCAGCAAATCCTATTACATTTTCAATAGAAAATCCATCACTGACTATAGTCAAGTTTCTGATTCCCAGTGCAGTCCAGTCCTGATGCACCTGTCACACCAATTCATAGCCTACAGTTAGTCACACCTGGGACAGATGAGAAAAGAGGGAGAGATGACCAATCTTCTGGACAAAATAAAGGCCTTGGAGTAAGTGTGCGAATAATAAAGTGGTATTCAACGTGAAAAGCTTTCGACACAGATCATTTAATTAAATATCACTGTTTTAACTATTTGTCTGAAAAATAACACACACAGTAACAGCAGAAATAAAGATGATGAGAAAGTACAGCAAGTAAAGGAAGATGAGAGAAACTTTTAAATAAATGATCAAGAGGTGGGTGCTAGTCATCATCTTTTATTAAATATTGAAGTGGTCCTCCTTGACTTGCTGCACTAACAAACTGTTAGTGGTGCATCCGAGTATAGACTTTAATCAAAATGTGTAATTAGGAGACTAAAATTAAATAAATAAATAAATACAACAAAGATTATCTCCTTTCTTTTTCAGCCCTAAGTAAGCATAAGGGAAAACACTGCATATGACACAAACTACAAATTATAGACCTCTTGCAAGTTTTCTTTTTTTTTCCATAATGGAACCAAAAACATTGCCTAATTGTTCAATCTTCAAAGACGTTCCTTGATACCTTCGTATTTCCCTTGTATTTTTCTTGCTCTAGGTACCTCTCTTTGCAATATATTTTTTAGTCCATGTTTTGGGAGAAGTATTTTTATTCTATGTTATACTAAATATAACACAAGAAAAACAAGACTTCGAGTGTATAGTGGACTTGATGATGCTCTTTAATCTGGCTCATGCATGCATCTCCTTTTTCTTCCTCCTCACTTCAAAGCTAATTTTTCCTAAGAAAGAGACTTACTTCAGAAACAGGGAAGTGTCTGGGATGCGTACAGATTAACTGTGGCAGGAGAGGAAATTTTAGCTTTTTCCCAAGAGAAAAATATAAATGTAAGATTTTTACCTAAAATTGCACCGTTGCCTGGTTTACTGCTTGTCTCTGTTGCTTTTCTGTTTCTTTACAGGTTTCTTTTGCAAGCATTTCCTTCTTAATCACTTTTGTCCTTGGTTCTTCTGGGTGAACCTGTCTAGAGCAGAGTAAAACAATCAGACCAAGCCCCTCTGATTTTACATTTGGTTACCCTTATCAGCTGTGACACTTTGAAACCTGACATTTAATCCCTAGGCACATCAGCGTCCTTTGTAAAACAAAATCCCTATGTCATCTGGGTTTATAGGACTGTGGGAAGATGAAAGAGGCTGATGCATGTGAAGTTCTTACCAAAGCTCTGGTGTGGAGCAGACACTCAGTAAAAGTTGGTTGGGTGTGACCATCTACTCCTGTGCCTTGGTTTTAACTATTTAAAGGATTTACAGTGTTATTTTTAGCTTGTCCTTGCTCCTCACCAGCTGGTGCGCTAGATTTGTATTTATTACACAGACTCTGTCTGGCTTTTTCCTTAATTATTCAGCTTTTTTGCCTTTGTTATTCCATTGTTTTAGCAGAAGTTAGTAAATGAGAAGATTTTGTGGCCGCAGTCCTTCTGGCCTGACCATTCCATGTGGGACTGGATTATCTAAATAACTCTCATCATTCAACTCATAAAGATTAACAAATGAACCAAAGAAGTTGAAAAGGTGTTTTTGTCTCAACAAAATGATGGCTGTTTCCTTGTAGAAATTTCAGGGAAAGTTTGAAAAGTTGGGACATTTAGGACCCTCTAACAAAGGCCTGAATTTAGCTAGCTCTCTCTAGTTCCTTGCTTGTATGGACTATGCATTTTAAGATAAATTTGTATAATGCAGCCGTTTATACTCTGGCATTCGCTCTACCCTTTATTTTGGGGGAATGGAATAACACAGACACACATAAAGAAGTTCCCTTTTATTTCTGGGTTGATTTGTGCACTGAAGAGCCCTGAGAGTGAAAAATACTTTGAACTTTCTTAGAGAAATTTGTCATTCTTGGAGGTGACAAACCCACCATAAAATACGGAGAGCTGGATTGCACTCGGTGATTTGTGATCCTTTAACAAATTCTCCAGGCTTATTTGCACAAATTGTCTTTTCTTTTATCCCTGGAACAACTGGAGAGAAAAATTTAAAAATAATGATCATTTGACCTTCTCAGATCATATGATTGGGAAGGATTAAGACATTGCAATAACTCAAATATCACAGTCCTTGAAATAATAATTTGTTAAGAGTTTGGAGCTTTAAATGTATGTAGGGTTTAATGGCATTATTTTTAAACTGTTATAAAATATTCTTCCATTCATGAATTCTATTAGCATGCACTATTGAAATGTTATTTTTATTTACCTTCAGTGGTTGACAAATAACATAAGAAAGAAAACTAGCATAAGCATAAAATCTCATTTAAATTGTTATACAAACAGTAAGGAATAACATTCCCCTTTTGAAAAGATATTAATTTTACAGCTGAAAAAAATCATTGCAAGGCCAAACTACAATGATTAAGTGGCCTTGTTTCAGTGATGAGATGGTGGGAAACAAGCATTGAGGACTGGCTATTATTTTTCTTGCTTACTTTAGTCTTATACACAACACACATTTGATAAGGAATCTTATTTGATTATTTTTCTCTTCTGGGAAAGATCTAGATTGTCTAGTGAGGTCAGAAGTCACATAGTGTGACCTAAAGTGTGCCCATCCTGCTTGGTCACTCTGGTTTTCATCACCAGTGTTTCCCAAATTGTACAAAGATCAGGCAGAGCTGGGTGATGACACATATAAACTCTGGATGGACACTGTAGACAATCTGGAGAGAATCTGAAGAGAACCATGCTGTGAAATTTAAGGGTACAATGCGTACTCTGTGGCAGTTTAGGAAAACAGCTGATATTGCTGTTTAGATAGGAATTTAGAAAAAATAACCATGATTTCAGTGAGGAATAAAATCTAGTGATTTTCATTCTTTCCAAGTGGTTTTTGCTGAAATGGTGAAGGTGACATTATTCTGTAAAAAAAGGTGTAGTCTTCAGAATTTAAGTAAACCAGAGTATAGATTGTATTTAGTCTATTCCAATTGAATAACTGAATACATTGTGTTCTTTGAGAACTTCTATAAATACTAAATGAGAAAAATATATGAAAATTTTGGCAATGCAAAAGTATATTTGATTCAGCAAATACACATTAGTGGTTATGAATTTAATTGACTTATGGCTTATGCATGCATGAAAATGTCAATAAAATTCAAAATCCTGTAGAATTAATACACACTAATAAAAATACTTTAACAAAACAGCATGATATTGACAAAAAACAGACCCAAGGATCAATGGAACGAGTTACAAGGTGCAGAAATAACTCTGAACACATTCAGTGTTATCATTGACAAAAGAGTCAAATATGTTTACTGGAAGAAAAATAGCCTTTTTAATAAATGGTGCCAGAAAATCTGGCTTTCCATATGCTGAAGACTAAAACAAAGCCCATTTCTATCCCCATGCACTAAGCCAAAAATTCAAAATGGATCAAACATCTAAGAATTAAAACAGAAATACTAAATTTCCAGGAAGATAGAAGACACAGGTGCAGGCAAAGATGTCCTGAATGAAAAATCCCAAATGCATGGGTAGTACTTCAAAGTATCAAGAACTGGAATCTCATTGTATTACAAAACATTTGCACAACAAAAGAAATCAGCAACAGAGTGAAAAGTGATCCCACCATGTGGAAAAAAAAACTTTATCCAATTGTCCCTCCAACAAAACAATAGTATCTAGAACCTGTAAAGAACTGAAAATCACATCCCCAAATGTGAAGATCCAATTCAAAAATGGGCAACAGAAATGAATATACAGGTCTCAGATGAAGTAGAAAGGGCAAATAAAAATGCAAAGGAACTGTTCAACATTCCTGGTTTTTGAGAACAGATACATACTAAACAATGCTGAGATTCCATCTGACTCCAGAGAAAATGGTTATTATTAGGAAATCAACCAATAACAAATGCTGGCAGATGTGCAGGGGGAAAAGTTCCAACTCTTGGTAGGAATGAGACTGGTGAAACCATGATGGAAATCAGTGTGGAGATTCCTAAAAAAGCTAAAACTAAAGGTTTCCTTTGACCTAGCTATTCCTTTTCTTGGTATCTTCCCAAAATAATTGAAAGCAACATATCACAGTGGTATATGCACACCCTTATTTATAGCAGCCCAATTTGTGATACTTAAATCTTGGAAACAACATGAATGTCCATACACACACACACACACATAATGGAATATTGCTCAATCATAAGATAAACCTGAGAAATTTTGAGGTAAGTGGATGCACCTTGAGACCATACTCAAGTAAAATAAATCAAACATACATGTGTAAATATCATATTGTCTTTCTGATGTGAGAAAATGAAATTATTTATAAGGACATTATGGATCAGAAACTGTTCAAAAAGAAAAGAGAACTATAGAGGTCGGAGGGGGAAAAGAAAAACAATGATACAAGAAAGATAAAGTTGAAACAAACTTTTGTAAATGTAGTGAATAAGTGTTTAAGGGAGGGGAAGGAAATGAGGAAAAAGAGGAACCAAGAGATGCTATGTACAGATGGAAATTCCCTATGATGAATGTGATCATTATGTTTATCAAAATTTTACCAGTAATAAAAAATTAAAAAGCAAAAAGAAGGAAACTTGCATTTAAGAGTCTAGTAGTAAAGTACATGATTCTCAAAAATGTTTGATCATTCTTTATCAAAGAGTTTAATTTCCCTTGAAAGAAATATGAAAACTTTTGTAGGAAGAAAACATTTAACTGTTTTAGGGTCTAATTTCATATTCTACTTTATAGTGGATTTTTAATTGAGTTGTTTATAGAGATTTCTGTCAGGATGGAATGACATAATTTGTGTGATGAAAGCTTTACACTCCACCTAAACTATTCTTAGTACACCCACTCATGGTACATGGCATATGAAATGAGAATCACTGAGCAGTGAAAATGGCACTGAGGGCAGGAAATGCGTGTCTTCTCCTGGCTCTGACATGGGCTAGCTTCCTTCTCTTGAGAAAACTTCTTTCCCTGCCTGGTCATTAATTTTGTCATTTGCCAAGGAAATAGTTGCATATGCTAGATGACTTCCAGTGTTCTTGTCATTTTTGTGTTCTGTGGGTCTTTGGTGTATCTTTACTAGAAAGACACTCCACAAAGTAAAGTCTGGAAACCCCTGAGGGGTGTCCCCTACAACTGAGGGCAGGACAGAGGAAACATAACTGTTCTGCAACTGACTAAATATTATGGCCTCCTCTAATTCAAATGTCCAGATCCAACTGTCAATTGATGGCATTAGTAAGTAAAGGCTTTAGGAAGGATCTAAGGGATTAGCATCCTTGTAAAAGGAATCCGAGAGAGCTCTGACCTCTCTTTCCACCATGAGAAGATGGTTTGCTGCAGGTGGGCTTCCACTGGTACTGTCTCTGTAGACAAGTTTTGGACTTCCAACTCCAGAGCTTTGAGAAATATAATCCAATGGTTTATAAGCTACCCAGGGTGTGGTACTTTTGTTTCCTTTTTTAAAAATTTTAATTTTTTTTCTTTTGGCATAGAGGATCTAACTGGTTCCGGCTGGCCTCTAACTGTTGCTCTTGGTGATCCTCCTGGCTCAGCCTCCCAGATGCTGGGGTTACAGGTGCCTGGCACTTCTTACAGTAGCCTGAACTAAAACATTGTCCTTCTTTCCAAAAAATCACCCCAGAATTTATCAAGATTAAAGTTTTAATAGAAAGCTATTAAGTGACTGAAAAACGAAGCAGAGGTGGGAGGAAAGAAATTAAAATGAGGTTGAGGAAGAAAGGGTGAGGAAAGAACAAACCACGAATGAAAACGGAGTAAGTGACAGGAGGAGGAGGAGGAGGAAGGGGAAGACAAGAAATAGATGGCAGAGAGAAGGCCTGAGAACAGCGCCCTGCATCTTAATGGAGTTTTCTTCTTCAGCTATGCTCTCTTTGATACGTAAGTTTGCTACAAATTTTGGGGATAAAAGCTTTCTTCTTTCCCTTCCTTTTTCCAATATTAGACAGATAATCTCCTACCTTGGTGTCTCTTGCAGATGTCCACTGGTTTGTCTGCCCCAAATCAAGTGCATTATTAGAAGAAGATACAGGAATATGCCTTTCCACTCAGCTTTATTTTATAGGGAGGGTGACCTCTGCCCTTCTCTGAAAGTGGACAGATACCATGG